CAGCTTTGTCAAGAAATGAAACACTTGTCAAATTCTCATAGTTGTGTGTTGAAGCACATGGTTGTTGTGTTTCTCCGCCTCCTAGCAGCCATTATAAAATCTAAGGTTGCATTTTATGCGTTCTATTTTGGATACTGCCCTCAGTTATCCTTGATTAACACTGGTTAACTCAGGTTGGTTCTCGTCAACCCTGGCTGCCAAAAATATGGTAACCTCGGTTGACTCTGGCCGCTCAAATATTCATTATCGAACGCACTTTGTGTTATTTTAAAAGTTATAACACAGACGCACGTACGCGCGCGCACACACACACACACACACACACACACACACACACACCAGGGAACGCGTTTTAACTTGTTCAATCAAATTCATGTTGCAAAGCAATCCTTAAAGCTAACAACATAATACATTGACGTTCGTGAGTTTCTCTTTCCTTCGCACCTTACATGAATGGGAGTCGCGAGGTTTGTGATCAAAGGGACACAACCCATGTCTGACGCTGATGGATCGATACCAACTGACGGTCTTCGTTAGTAAATTTGTCAAGCCGAAGACCAGTGTTCGATTCCCAACATTGATACAATATGTTAAACAACTTTGTGTTTTCTCTATGGAGATAATGCTGCTATCTGCCAATATTCCCCGTAAACACTCACCAAGCTATTTGCTAATTCTATTTATTACCCAGAGGGTTAGAAATAACATAAATCGTATGTGCATAGTGCAAGTATCACTTCATGGGCACCGCTGTATTGTTTCCGTCATCCCGGTGGCATTGTTGACGTCATTCGAATTTTATTGTGACGTAAGTTCGAAATGACGTCACACTAGAAGCTGAAAATTATTGATGCCATTCGACAATTGTAGTTTTCTAAGACGGTGGTCGTGATCTGTGCATTTCTTCTGAAGGGGAGCTCAAAAGGATTACGAAATAATGGGTAATAAAGGAATTATTACACTCACATATGTGTCAAAATGACTGTACGAAACTCGTGTTAAAATTCATGTATTACCTTCACTTTCGCTCTTAAAATATTATAACATAGCTGGAAATACAAGAATTCTGACACTAAATTCGTAAAATCAATATGTCATACATGCTCGTATAATAAACTCTCTACACTTTACTAAAGCAGGGTGTGCATTTTACCCACTCACTAATGCGCGGGAGGTTCAGCAATTGTGACCACAATATATATTCCTGGCCAACATACTCCTCTATTAGATCAGGTCACTGCTAGGTAAATGAATTAAAAGAAACCATTAGCATGTCTGACAGTGTAGGATCTCTTCGTGCTTATGTAAATGCATTCATATTAATACAGGCATGAAAAGGTCTTGTTACTTGTTAAAGCAATGACCTTTTCATATTTTGTATTCTCATAAGCATGCTAAAAAAACCAACCGTTTCTGAATTCAGTGGCACTAAGCACTGCAATGTACTTGTATACTTGAAGCGCACGTAAAATAACCACATTGAGTCTTGATATTGACTTGAGCGTCTATCTGATGCTTCCCAATATTTTCTGACGGTCAACTAACGACCTTGTGGCATGCCAACAGATGCAGATGTTTAATTGTTACGAAACGAAAATATGTCTCGAAGTAGGCACGCACACGTTCTTACTGAAAATGTTAGAACAGTTAACTACGATAAATCATTTTATCCGATACAGTTTTAATGTGGAATGATTTACCAGATTCTACACAATAAAAGTGTCACCACAACTGAAGATCCTAAACTACTGTATTTGGCTTTAAATTAGACCAAGGTACCGGTTTCTGTCAAATTATTCACTCCCGCCTGAGGTGTGTTTGTGGTGATTTAAATGCACACACACATTACAGACATATTAGAGAATAGGTCTTTAGCAACCCATGCCTGACGTAAGAGGCGACTATATGCTTATCGTAAGAGGTGACTATATATGCTTATCGTAAGAGGCGACTATATGCTTATCGTAAGAGGCGACTATATGCTTATCGTAAGAGGCGACTATATGCTTATCGTAAGAGGCGACTATATGCTTGTCGTAAGAGGTGACTATATGCTTGTCGTAAGAGGCGACTATATGCTTGTCGTAAGAGGCGACTATATGCTTGTCGTAAGAGGTGACTATATGCTTGTCGTAAGAGGCGACTATATGCTTGTCGTAAGAGGCGACTATATGCTTGTCGTAAGAGGTGACTATATGCTTGTCGTAAGAGGTGACTATATGCTTGTCGTAAGAGGCGACTATATGCTTGTCGTAAGAGGCGACTATATGCTTGTCGTAAGAGGCGACTATATGCTTGTCGTAAGAGGCGACTATATGCTTATCGTAAGAGGTGACTATATGCTTGTCGTAAGAGGTGACTATATGCTTGTCGTAAGAGGTGACTATATGCTTGTCGTAAGAGGTGACTATATGCTTGTCGTAAGAGGCGACTATATGCTTATCGTAAGAGGCGACTATATGCTTGTCGTAAGAGGTGACTAACGTAATAGAGTGGTCAGGCTCGCTGACATCATTGATGCATGTCATCGTATCACAATTGCGTAGATCGATGTTCATGATATCAATCACTGGATTGTTTGGTATAGACTCGATTATTTACAGACCACATGTTTGTTTGCTGAGTTCTGCGTTAAACAGCAAACAAACAAGCCATCAAACATATTCATGATTCGACGACCTGCGTTTGTGGATACGATTACGAGAGTTGTACACATTACTTCTTTTCACGTCCTAACAATTGCAGACTTTGTACTACTGCATTAAAGGACAATACTTGGATTCAGTATTATATGGAAATGCTAGAACGTCTATTGATATTTCACCTTGCTATTATTCAACCTATTCACGTATTTATTGTAAAATCTAAAAGATTGAAAATTTGAATATGCGTTTAAAAAAAACCCCAAAACATCAATTTAATGGTTGGCTGTATGTGTGATATGCTGGCATGTAGCGGTATATGTGTACAAGCGTATATTTGTACATGTACATGTGCATGGATGCTATGCACCGGTATAGGTAAGTGTGTATTTATGTGTGACTTCAATATCTGCATCATGATTTTATCAATAGTAGGTACAGTTAATCTAAACCTACTATTATTTTAGGTACAGTTTAATTATTAATTGTTAAATACCATTGTAGGGAGAATTGTTCAAATAGGCATTGCCTGTTCACCAATCCCATTCTTCTTTGGAAAGAATAGTGTTTAAATCTCACGTTCCTAAACCTGTAAGCCACTGTGAGTTTATTTTAAACCAGCTTGACAGGAGTCGTTCAATATGCTGTACGTGCAGCAAGAATTTACACACGTTTGGCAGATAGCATGTGGGAAATGTGGCCACATAGTCCAATGTGGATTAATTCAACCGGCATTTTTGTGGATTGTTTAAGGCCTGCGTCAAACATATAGACTAGTCATGTTTTCTACTCTTCGGGCACCACTTAGGCCGGTTTTGATGTTTTCTGTTGTACACACAAGCTCCCCACAGCGATATCCCGTTCGCGGAGCTCAGCTCTCTATACCGAGAGGGTAACGAAGGTGTCGCGCGCTGGAGCTTGGTGCATACTTACGCAGGGGTGACAACTCGGGTAGTCAAACGTGGTTGTTCGTTTTTAATTTCAATTTCAGGAAATGAAAATTAAACCGAGTCCTTTTTATTGAAGCATATATGTTACATTAAGAAACAGGGCGATGAGACAACGAGTTAATTACTGTAAATGCGAATCAAGTACAGTGTCTGTAGGTATTATTACAATTTAGGGAAGGGTGTTCTATAGAGTATAAGAAACTGTACTTAACATGATATGATTAATGTTAGAAAGTTGCAAAATATTGAATCCTGACAACATTGACAACATGTCATACACTTGGTGCCTAACACCATACATGCCCGACCTCACTGACGTTACTGTGCTTAATGGTATACGAACTGTGTATTCCTGGGGATTGATAATTTATTAGGAAGGGATGGGGTGCGGGTGAGAGGGCTGTGTCTAGGGGGTCATAAGATCGAATAGATACATGCGGAGCCAAACTTAATCACAATGGTGCATGAAAAAATGACAGTTATAATTTCTATTTTTCAATTAAAAACATATAATTCGGGAACTGGTAGTTTATTATAGGGAGGTGTGGGTGGGTGTTAGTGGGTGGGTAGGTGGGGGTGGTGGTCATGAAAAGTGTTACATAGCCCTCAAGGTCGTGATGCCAGGGCTACATTAATTGGCCGGAGGTAGATCATCAGTCTCCAGTGAGTTGTTGTCTAAGGCTTTATTAATTAAATAACAAAATAGAAAACCATATTCTTCACATAAAATTGTAATTTCCATGATAAATTAAATACTGCTCAACATATATATGGATTGAGAGAAAGTTAATACTCTGCGAAACTCATGGAAAGTCATGGAAATATTATAATTTTAACTTCAAATGATCCACCATAACAATATCGGTAACTATTTGTTTGTCAACAGTGCCAATCATCGCAACACCCACAGTCGTAAACCTCACATCCAGGTATGCCGATGAAAGAAGATTGTGAGGTGAAATGGGGTTTAACGTCGCAACCAAGATTATTGCACTTATATAGCGACGTGCATGCATGTGTGCATGTGGTTGCGGCTGTTTGTACTAGTCCGGGCTAATGCCGATTTTATAGTGCTAGCCCACTGAGATACCATGCCAGAGTTTAACATGACTACCCCACTTAGGCACAGCATACTGACTCCGAGCCGACCAGTCCTTGTTTATCCCTTAATGCCGAGCGTCAGGCTGGGTAACAACGAGAACCATCCTTTAACGTCTTTTGGTATGATGCGGCCCGGGATCGAACCCCGGACCTTTCGCTCTACCACTGGAACACATAGGCGGTCGATGAAAGCAGAGACAAGTATTTTGGGATGTTCGCAGACTATAATGAAACATTTGGGGGAAAGCCGTGGTACAAAATCTCCAATAAGTTAGAGAAGGTTATACAAAGTTAAAGAACGACATCGTCAGTATACGTGAGTGGGTTTATTGTAAGAAAATGAAGGTCAAAGACAGAACAGGTTTGACAAACAAGAATACTTTATAAATCTTTCTGACGAAGGTCTGATCTGCACACATTGGTGCCTTCTGGGAAGGGATGTGTTTTTCAGGACCTGGACCAACGTCGACTGGTGTCATGAAAAAAAGTCTCAATTCATGCCTCAGTCGCATTATTTCATGAATACAAAGTTTATGCATTTTATGCAAATGTAATTTTCGTGTCTTTAAATCGTATTTGCTTTTAAACCACTGGCGATATTTTCCCTGGTTTAGTTCACGGTTTTGTTTTTGTTCCTGGCCATGAGCATGCGCAGTCCAAATATGAAGCAGACGACAAGGAGCACGCAGATAATGGCGGCCAGGGCGATGAGTCCGATCATCACGCTGCTGGACATGGTACATTCCTTGTCTTCTCGATCTGCAACAACGGGTAAAGAGGTGTGAGATGACAATGTTGTTGGTGATGATGCGAGTGATGTATGCGATGGTATTTTAATCCAATACACCAGGGTATTATTATAATTTACAGATTAAAATAAAAAATGCAACAAAGAGGGTTTGGGTGATCAGGCTGGTTAGGCTCATCATCAGCTCAGGGCCCTTGCCCCCTTTACACGCAGCCCAGACAGCGAATGGGGCTTCTCCCAGGAAGCGCTTCCTAGTCAAATCCACGCTTAACGTTTCGGAGAATATGAAGACTCCCCAATATTGCAACCTTCTGCATTACCCAGATTGTCAGAAGGACTGTTTCACGTAGGTAAACTGGAGATTTCATATAGGTCACCTAGTTCGTCTCGAGTAGGCCAACTAGTGGTCTGACGGAGGTCAAATAGGTTGAGCTACATCAGACCATCTATGAAACCATGTACAGTAAACTACGGTTAAAACGAACTCAAAGGGACCACTTATTTTAGTTCCTTCTTACAGTAGTTCGTTATAAGCTTATATACAGCATATACACAGCAAATGGACGGGACAAAAAACAGTTCGGAAAAGCCGTCAGTTCGTTATAAGCGTGTTCGTTATAAATGTAGTATGGGGTATTGACGACTCGTATGAGGCACGTCAGACACTGTTGTCTTGTGTCTTTGATCAGGGCAACATGACTCTAATAGCAGTCCGCGAACACTGCTCTTACCTGTGAATCCGCTTTGTTCGTATGGCGTGTTGATGTAGATAGTCTGGTTGATAACGCCGTCATTCTCTTTTGCCGCTTCAGCAGTATCTCTCCTCTTTCTTCCACTAGCGGGGCAAGTCTAGGGGCGCAGAAAATACAACCTTAAATCTCTTTGTGACATCAGCATTATTTCACTTCCATTTACAAACATATGTTTGTGCTTACCCCTGAAACATCCAGCTCCACCTTCTTTGTACACGCCTTGCATAAAGATATTAAACGTTCATGTATATCGGAACATCTGGTAACACTTTACTACAAGAAAAGAACTAATATTGAAAGATGACGAGTCACCAAGGGTATTATGGTTCTAGACGCTTGGGTCAGTAGTTGGAATGCTTGGGATCTTATTGCAATGTACCCCCATGAAAACATGATGGGTTATTTTCACTGATTTTAGCACTACTCCAGTATCGTTGATTCACCAAAGTGGGAACGTCTAAGATCGGAATCAATTCGGGCTTCCCTCTCAAATTAATATATCTCTGATGATACATCAATGTCAAATGTTCCCTATATAATATGTACATATATGTCTGTATACGTTCGTCCTCTATATCTCCAGGGCTAGCGTTTCGGTAAACCTACACTAACCCCTGGATTCGTTAACATTTTACCGACCAATCAAAGGTCGACATAAGAGATCTCAAGGAAAAGGGTAAGGGAGGTAACTCGTATTACCTATAAACGACATCCACCGCCATTTTAATGGCCATGAAGACATCCTTTCAATCAAAAGGATATTTGAGGGCTTTCTTTAGCCTGACAAAACTCGATTATAATCAATGGGACTGGTCAATCCAACATTGAGGCAGCTTTGTAACTCGCACTGTCATTGGTCCGTTAGACTTAGTAGCATAGCCAATCAAACTGGCAAATGTAAATCAAGGGCGGGTAATTTGAGATTGCAAGAACCACGGGAATGGATCCAGGGGTTAGAGCAGGTTAACCGTAATGCTAGCCCTGGAGATATAAAGGATGTTATACATTCTTTGTAGGCGTATCCGCGAAGGCTAGATTTCAAAACATACTGGAAGTGAGCACTGGGTACGGTCGGTACTGCTGCGGTAGTAGATGTCGAGGCGGAGAGCATTGCTGTTGTCGAAGAGGAAGGCATACAGGCTGATTGTCCACCGAGACAGGTCAGAGTTGTAGATCGGGTCAGGCTTGACCACCGACTTGCCGAGAGCTGTCACGCATCTGCCGATGAGACACATTCAGTCAGAGAAAGTAGCGTCCACCCTGACATATTGTATGTTCTGTGTACTGGTGTGTTTGAATACCAGAGTGAATAGAAATGACTCTTGGTCTTTGGGCTTTAGTGATATTCGCAAATCGAAAACGCGTGTATGCATTTTGGAAAAGCCAAATCGTGTCAGACCAATAGTGTATGAGCTTTGTTGCCAGGTGTACGATCCGTGTTGCTAGGTGTACGACCCATGTTGTTAGATGTATTACTCGTGTTGCTAGGTATCATCGGATCATAGGTTTTCGGACATCACAGGTTTTCGGACATCATAGATTTTCGGACAGCCATGTTTATCGCAATTACTCGCGCTATTACATGGGGTGTAGCATTACACAGATATTTTAAATACTCAGATGGTGGCTTGGTTTAAAGAGAAATTAGCGAATGTTTCTTAAGTGTCCGAAAACCCATAACACGAGAATATATGATTTGTATTACTTGGTGTATGGCCCGTATTGCTAGGTATATGATTTGTGTTGCTAGGTGAATGACCTGTGTTGTTAGGTATAAGACCTGTGTTGCTAAGTGAATGACCTGTGTTGTTAGGTATATGACCTGTGTTGCTAGGTGAATGACCTGTGTTGCCAGGCGAATGACCTGTATTGGTAGGTGTGTGATCGGTGTTGCCAGGTGAATGACCTGTGTTGCTAGGTGAATGACCAGTGTTGCTAGGTGTATGACCTGTGTTGCCAGGTGAGTGACCTGTGTTGCTAGGTGAATGACCTGTGATACTAGGGACACCAACTGACCCACTATCTATGAGCACAGCCTCTTCAGGGGTGGAGGGGTTGGTGGCCACCAGTCTGTCGAACACAGCGCAGTAACCTGGACACAGGAAACAAAACGGTTAAAGAAACTAAAGGGGCGGATTCTCATGGAAACTGGACATCTATATCTCACGAAACAAGGCAACTGTCCAAAGAGTGAGTGAGTGAGTGAGTGAGTGAGTTGGGTTTAACGCCGCTTTTAACATTATTCCAGTTATATCACGGCGTGTCAGCTTAATGTGGGAGGAAAGCCCAAGTGATGCAGGTCTAAGACGTTTACCACATCGGTGAAACCCACGAGCACGGGTATGGTGCTGACAAACCTAGAAACATAATTGGGGCGAACCGGGATTCGAACCCGCAATCATAGGTTTCTGGCGTGCCCAAGGGACGCAACTCTGCACATCGAATTGCGGCGCCTTAGACGACTGGGCCACCCGTGCCCCCAACTGTCCAAAGAAAGGAACTATAAAATACAAATGATCTTGAAAGTTATCTCCAGAAGTGACCAAACATAGCCACACATGTACACGCACGCCCACCCCCCAACAGTCAGCTTAGTCGCACATTGTGACCATCCAATACACATAAGTCAACTCTTACAACAAATGGGATGCCATGGACCTATTTACCCCGAGTTCTCAATACACGGATACGTAAAGCAGAACAAGACGAATCACTTGTGATATCTTAATGAATAGGGCATATATTAAAGGCCGTGACCTGGACCGGAAACATCTGCATATTGTTATTTGGATAGGACCTTGACATCTGCTATTGACCCGAAACATCTGCATATTGTTATTGGACAGGACCTCTGCTATTGTGATAGGTTACATCGTTACATCACTGACCTCCATCTGCGATGAAGGTGAGTACGACCTCATCTCCGATCTTGAGCGCTGAGGCTGAGGTGATGGCTTGACCCACGGTGTTGGTCATGGTGTAGGTGATGGGTGAGATGTAGTTGGTGGTGTTTTGGAAGATCAAGTTTCCCCTGGGAATGTAACGGTGTCATCAGGTTAACACGACACGTCATGGAAAACTGGACACACTGGCATTGTATTTCTATTACGTGAATAATTCAATGCTGATAAGTCTTTCGAAGAGGCTAAATCGATTATAAGTTTCCTGTTTGGATGAGCGAGTTGGGTTTAACGTCGCTTATAGTATTCCAGTTCTATCACGGTGTGTCAGCTCAATGTGAGAGGAAATCCCGAAGTGATGCAGGTCTCAGACGTTTACCACTCTGGTGAAACCAACGAGCACGGGTATGGTGCTGACAAAACTAGAAACATAATCGGGGCGAACCGGGATTCGAACTTGTTTGGAAGAACATGGCAATCACTGTGTAAAGAACATGGGATCTGAATGGAGGTTAACACTTTAACTTATCAACCTCTGCTGACGTCACACTACAGTAACAGAAGGTTCTTCTAAATGTTTGTAAACCTCCAAGGCAGGCAATATCATCAATCCCGGGGCGTTTAGGTGGACTGCCTGGGACTTGATGAATACTTTTCAATTGTAATACCGATGTTTTACAATTTATGATTTATGAACTTGCCTCTTGATGAGAACGCACTTTTGTTTGATGATTGGATAAAAATCACAATTCTTTTAACATAAAAAATCCGTGACGTGAAGCGAACATGCAACTTCACATATCGTGTTAAGTTTTGTTACCCACCGTTTTCCCACTGAGCTGACGGGGCAGGTGATGAGAAGTTGTTAAATTTATCATGTCATGACTCCAGCTAGTCCATGCTGCACGTGTTTTTCTCTCGCACGCTTTGAGCGAATTCCTTTTATACCGCAATACACTGTAATGTTTCACTATAAGATATGTCGATTTTTTTCTGGGTTTTTTTGGCATTTAGACAGTTCATAATTTGGATAGAACACGCCTCCTCGGTTTTTATTAAAAAATGTAAAACCTTGACGTCGGCTTTTCCCTCGCTCGCGGTATAACATTTTCATCCCAAACCTCGGAGGCGTGTTTTATCCTAAACATCTTGCATGAACTGAGTGAGTGAGCTTTCAGGGCCATTACCGCAATATCACCACGGGGGACACCAGATATGGACTTCCCTGATGTGTTCCAATGGTGGAATGAAACCCTGGCTTTCGGCGTGATGTGCGAATGCATTAACCACTAGGCTACCCAATCCTCCGTTATCTGTGCGGATCGGATTCAAGGATGTTCTGTGTGGGATTATTATCAAGGCAGTAAACGGGTACATCTGGATATTATGTGACATAACTGTATAGTTAAATGATATTTCATAAACGAGACACTCATCAAACCATCAACGTACAAGTCATTTGGGTTGATGTTTCCAAAGCTGGCGTAGAGGACGTTGTTACTGGGGTCGAAGATGCAGTTGCACTGGAAGCGGATGTCGGTGCCGGTACGGATGATTCTGCTGTAGCGGTAGATGAAGTAGCGGGTATACGCATAGCCCGACTGCAACAGGGAACGTGAATTTAACGCACTCGTCGCCTTTCACCACAGTACGTGTTATAACACAGGTGCATACACATTCACTGACCTTTCACGGTGAGTTGCCTTATGCATTACCTTGATTTTCCGATGTTCGGATTCACCCCAAAACATCCTATTGCAGTCCGACAGAATCCGTGTCTATGCTGCGTAGAATGTGTTCCGTTCCGTGTGTGTTTCTGTCACTCTGTGTTTGTGTATGTGTGTGTGTGTGTGTGTGTCACTGTCTGTGTGTCACTGTCTGTGTGTGTGTGTCACTGTCTCTCTGTGTGTGTGAGTGTGTGTGTGATTGTGAGATTGTCTGTGAGTGTGTGTTTGTCTGTGTATTTGTTTGTGTCTGTGTGTGTAACTGTGTATGTGTTTGCGTGTCAGCAGGACTGTGTGTGTGAGAGAGATTGTGTGTTTGCTTGTGGGTTTGCGTGTGTGTGTGTGAGACTGTGTGCAAGACTCTGTGTGTGTTTGTGTGTTTGTGTGTTCCTTGCATTTATAATTCTTTTAGGCGCGTTATGGCCACGGTGCCTTTATACTCCATTTTCTGCACAACAACAAAGATATGCCAGACATTGACCACGCAAAACGTGCGAAGAAACAAGAAATGTCGCTTAAAAATATAGTCCTAAAATATAGTTATAAATGCATGACAGAACATAAACACTGTACAAAATTAATCAGCGAAGAAAAACATTTTTTGTTCACGCAAATAATAGATCTAATAACTTTAAACTGCTTCAGTATATGCCGATGAGGTTTGTTTACCGTTAGATCTCTCCTGGTGACTGAGCCGCACCTGCTGGTGAAGTAGTTGACGGTGATGTCGTGGGTGTTGCCTCTGCCGATGGGCGCCGTGTTACATTCGGATTGTGCACTGTGTAGAGATGACAAAATGTGGGAATGTTAAATCAAGGTGAAATATATTTGTTCAAGGCAGTTTATTACAAGACACAGTAACATGAAACATCGTTCCGCCATAGGGTTAACCTCATTGGTCAGCACACACCTCGATTATCCAGAGTAGTATATCTTCATGTTGGTGAGGATTATGCTTGACCTACATGTATTTGCTGCAGTAGCTGCCTGTGGGATGAGATCACCATCACCTACCAGTAACCACCCACCGACTTTCTCTCACACATACCTATATTTTAACCACATGAGAATCGAATCGGAGTCTAAACGAATATCCGTTAACGATAGCTCCATCGTAAATTCAAACGCGGATACAACTTATTGGAAGGGGTTGTGCGCAGGTTTTTTAAAGAAAGGTGTACTTAAAACCTTAAAATAATAAAATACTATCACAACATTCGGGAAAAATATATTATTTGCGCTAGCCAAAATTAGTCAAGTAATTGTTATTTTTGTTGAGCAAGTCACCAAGTGAATTACTTTTATGGTTTTTCCCACGCCAACTTATTAGTATGCTTCTTGTGTAAATATTGTTTTTAGCTGAATCAGCAATATTGCGGCTGGTTATGCTTCAAGATGGGTCGGGATGGTGCGCACCCTGCAACGCTCTTCTGGATCCGTGTATGAAATTTATAATGGAGCTGATTCATAAGACAATGGGATGCCGAAAATGACACACGGCATTAGAAACAAACAGCATAATTCTTCAGGCGTTGTTTCTTCTAGTTTACCACGAGTTACTATTTAATCAACCCAACTTGGACATATGTTCTTTTGATTGTGTGGATTAAAACGATAGATATCAGAGCTAAATGATAAAATAAAAGTTTTTATCTGTGAAGGTGGACACTCTTTTTCGGTAACCTGGAATCTAAGGTTGCAGTGTGACTCTTTGTGTAAGATGACTTAGGTTTAACTCAAGGTGAAGTGTCTTGTCTGCTTCCCTGACTCACCCGAAGTTCTCAACGTAACCCTCGCCGTTAGAAAAGTCCCCAGGGGGCGTCATGGAAACGATCATTCTATCTGAGAGACACTGGCAATTCACTGGAATAACATCATAATTGTCAATGTATCATCATCATCATCATCATCATCATCATCATCATCATCATCATCACATTAGGGGCGGTCGGGTAGCCTAGTGGTTAAAGCGTTCGCTCGTCACGCCGAAGACCCGGGTTCGATTCCCGACATGGGTACAATGTGTGAAGCCCATTTCTGGTGTCCCCCGCCGTGATATTGCTGGAATATTGCTAAAAGCGACGTAAAACCATACTCACTCACTCACTCACTCATCACATTGTGATGTGTTATTACAATTATCATTTTGTTTGAACTTTTTTCCCTGTACCTGCATGACGTAATTATCTAAAAACAGTTATGGCAGCCGAAACACAATAACAAAATGAATTTAGGATAAAAAAAACATATTACATAGGTTTTTGTTTGATTTTGTTGTTTAAAGCCGCACTTAGCAAAATTCCACCTATATGACGGCGGTCTATAAATAGTCGAGTCTTGGCCAGACAATCTAGTGATTGACATCACGAGCATCGTTCTATCGTTCTATCCCGCAAATTTGATACGATGACATGCATCAATCAAGTCAGCGACCCTGACCACCCGATCCCGTTAGTCGCCGCAAGTATAGGTTGCTGAAGATTCACGGGTATCATACGGTAGTAACCAAGCTTTACAATTTGAAATTGAAATTGAAGTACGGACGCATATGTTTGACTAAGCTTTTGTTTTCGGCACGTGTCTGATGCCTATCTACTTACTGGGTGCGTTCTCACAGGCACCCCCCGAGTAGCCAGCGTTACACACACACTGGTCCACCCCAAACCGTCTCTCGCACACGCCATTGACTCCACAGTTGAGGCTTGTGCACTTGTTGACTACAAAACAGAGAAATACACACAGATGAATGTTATCAAGAGCTTACATACATTTTTTCAGTTGTTGAAAAGGTAGGTGTAAACTTATATAAATCCCCCAATAGGATGTGAAGTTTAAGCTGTATTGCATCTGGCAGTGTAGGACAGAGAGCTAATAGTAAAGATGGGTTACAGTTTGTGACGATGTAGGCCACTCCCCTATTATATACCTCTAAAGACATCTCTCAATATTGTATACATCTTTAGAAGCCGTGCCCTCTCAGCTGCCTATATAAACACTTATACATTTCTCAACGGTAGATGTTCTATGACACACCCTGAGTAAACCGTTCTCAATTGTTAATTATTATCACCTTGAATATTTTTTAACTGTTGGAAGAGAAAGAAATCTAATAAGCTATTTTAGGAAACGGTTTATTTAGTCAATATGGTTTTCTATGCCTGTTCTGCGTGACGAACGTTATATGAGTGAATGGAACAGCTGCTTCGCCTTTGACGACGTGTATGGGGGATGCATCGAAAACGGCAATAGTCAAAACGGCAACAACGTTTACCATAGATTACAAACAGTCATACCAAAGAAGGTTTTACATTTTTATAAACCCTTCTTGTTGTTAATAAATTATATCTTCTGCATGCCTGTACTGCCACCTGTGGCACAGTAACGACTGCTACCGCGAAATACATATGGTGCTGCAGCATACACAACGGTCCGAAAGGTTTTCATGTTTAACAGTAATAATAATTTATCTAATGTGCTAACGACCACGCAACAAAGCATGCGTAAAGCGCAGACAAAACATACATAATTATGTAAACAAAAGTAAAATATAGTTATCAAACAAAAATGTTTTAAGCCCTGACTTGAAAATATAAAGTGATGGGTTTGTTTTGAGGGCAATTGGAAGAGCATTCCATTTTTTGGCAGCAGTTACTTAAAAAGTTCTGGCACCAAAGGATTTCAGTTTCCAGTTTCAGTTCCCAGATGGCTGGTACACATGGACAAGGTCTGTGTGAGTGTCCGGCTGAAGTTTGTCACCAGACCGCAATTTCCTAGATGGCTGGTACACATGGACAAGGTCTGTGTGAGTGTCCGGCTGAAGTTTGTCACCAGGCCGCAATTTCCTAGATGGCTGGTACACATGGACAAGGTCTGTGTGAGTGTCCGGCTGAAGTTTGTCACCAGACCGCAATTTCCTAGATGGCTGGTACACATGGACAAGGTCTGTGTGAGTGTCCGGCTGAAGTTTGTCACAAGACCGCAAGTTCCTAGATGGCTGGTACACATGGACAAGGTCTGTGTGAGTAGAAGACTGAAGTTTGTCACAAGACCGCAATTTCCTAGATGGCTGGTACACATGGACAAGGTCTGTGTGAGTGTCCGGTTGAAGTTTGTCACCAGACCGCAAGTTGCCAGATGGCTGGTACACATGGACAAGGTCGTTGAGATAAGATGGTGCTGTTCCATTTATATAGGTACGTAAGAATTAGCAATTCTCTTTGCAACAGACAATGAAGGCATCGTGACACTGGGGATATGTGTGATCTCACACGTGACTTTTCACTTGTAGTCGGAAACGTGTGAGTTAACAGTAAATGGCTATCGTTTCTTTCCTTTCCGTGGCACATGCGAGTTCCAACCTAAACATTGTATAATCAACAATATTCTTTTGTTTGGATTGAGATGTTTGCTAACATGTTTTACTCATAAACGATAAACACATAATTAGCAAAATACCATCCACTATGCATTTATTAATAAATAGTGGACGCTTGTGTTAAAAATTTGTCGTTTTCATGAAAGCGGGATTCCGTTATTAATGAAGAAGTAGGAAAATATTGCCGTTTTTGACTGTTGCTGTAACTGTGCATAAACGTTCAGTAATTGGCATTAGAACTGTAACATATCTAAGCCCAATTTTACGTAACATTTTTTGGAATAAATGACTAAATGTCCCCCATCCCCGTCCCCCACCCCCCAGCCCCTCACCCTCTCTATGTTCCCGTCTCTCGGATAATAAAACTGAAGATTATGTCAGTCATAAAACCAAATTGAATATTTCTTACCAAAACACGACATAACGTTAAGTCACGTTAACCCAGGAACATCCAACGACCAATTCATCATCAGTTACGTATAGAAATGCAGCAGTTATCGTGATTATATAATTCTAAATTAATTATAAAAATGAAACTTGTGAAAACATGAAATGTTGTAGAAAGGATGTTGTTGAAGAGCGTTACCTGAAGTTATGTGGCAGCTCTCTCCCTCGAAGCCAGTAATACACTGGCAAATACCGTTGGTGTAGTCGCACACTCCTCCGTTGATACAGTCGTTACCGGGGTTCTTGCAGTTGAAGACGCTGCCTGTGCAAAAACATGAAATCATGATGTATAGTGGTATGGACCATAGTATCTGTACCATACAGGTAAAGCTGACAGCGTTATATCTCGAGGTAGGGGTCACGGGAGGCCCTGTCGACTCCGGCTCCTCAATTCGCTGTGCCGAGTTGCGTCCCTTAGACACACCAGAAACATGTGACTGTGTGTTCGAATCCCAGTTAACCTCGGTTAACCTCTGAACTGTTATTTGCCTTTACTCATATCGCATGTTTGTAAGTGTGTAAAATCAGTCCATATCTAAAATGAATGATCTTTTTCGGTTTGGCAATTTACAAAACGCCTAATATATCAGTCATTATACAAATTGATTGTAGAGTTGGTACACTTATTTTATTTTGATAACGAATTCCGAATATTGTTATGTTGCACTTCATCACCCAGTGACTGAAAATGATAGGATTAAAAGAAAACGGAAGTCAAAGTATATATTTTACGTTCATTTTGGCTTCTAATCCTAGCATAATAGTTTATTGTTATGCTTTAAGCCCGTTAATAATCTTAATAATTTTTAGTTTAGTCAATCTGTCAAATAATTGGACAGAGGTTTCAATCAATTTGTAAACTGACTGAAGTATTTAGGCATTGTGTAAATTGTGCAGGTGAATTGACTGTAACATATACGTACATATACACGTATATTATTTACTTTATAAGTCTCTCATAACTCCAAATTGTGTAGCCATGTTTTTATATTTGTATGTTTTTAGGAACCTGTTCTATAATGTATTGTATATCGATTTTGCCGAGACTACAATCTGTCTGTGATGAGGCATGGAAATGAACCGCCGTCCGCTATGCGACACGAGCACTCACTATCACCTTCACACACTTCTTCAATTATACGCGTGTATTAATTTGTGCTCATTGATCTATAACAGCCGTTGCTGTTGGCGACAGCTACCTTCAGTGTTTGGTAACACACAACAGATACGTTTTCTATACATTGTATCAACATTTGACTTTCGGGTAGATAGAACTTACATGATGATGCTTGTTGCTATGACGAATTGATTTATTGTTTAGAACTATTGTTCTGTGAATGGCACGTCGAAGATGACACACTAAAACATATTTATTCTGCATGTAAAATGTACATACGTTGCATGCTTCAACTGAAACAAGTCTTTTTATTGTACTGTTTGCCAACTGGGTGTGACCGCCAACACAGGAAGGCGTATGTTTCAGTCACAGAACTGCGCACATTCTGTACACTGTAGTTCATCACATAAATGTCATATGTTTCACTGGGCTACTTAAGACAAAGTGTCTATATGATATTTTGGGCCGACCATTAATAATGTTGGGGTTTTGTGGCAGACAATTTCTGGGTTTTTTTAACACTCTGAAGCTCAATCACATATTTACATATTTTTTTTCTGGGACAGGTGATTTTTTGTCGATATCCCCCCCCCCCCCCGTTGACGTTCAAGAATAGTCTCAAAATAAAATGACGATGTGTTTCATAAGGACCATTTGTAGCAAACTGTATGTACACAATTCTAGATTTAGAATCAACGTTCTTGAATTTTTTATAAAAATGCTAACAGTTTTATTCATATGAATAAGAATAAGACCGTTCTGTTCCAGGTAAGGCTGGACTGTGTCTACTGTAGGCTTCTATTGTAAGTGGTTTTCAAATATTTGAACATAGGCAAACCTTTGAGTTGATGTTCTGAGGAGATTTCGTCCCAGGCTTGCTTATAGTTAAATGTTCTTTTGAAGTTGGCACAATTGGCATTTGTATTTAATTTTAGCTTGATTTTGTACTCTAGTATGTTAGAAACTTAATTGGTAAAACGAACAAATGCTTGTTGTAAGCCAGATGGACATGTGTGTTAATTGTCACCGAATAATATATTTGAAAGCCATTTTTAGGTGACCAAATATGGCCTTTGTCATCACACATTCTCTGTCGGTGCCGAATGGACGAGACATGATGGCTTAGCATTCAACAGAAGGTTTACCGCCATTGCAATGCAAGACGGCAATGGTTTAGTAACCATGAGTTGTCGCCGTTGTAATTTTGTTCAGCAGGGTCAGATATATATATATATATTCTAGAATTAATGCTTATATATCATATATATAATATATATATATATTAATATATATATATTACATAAGCATTAATTCTAGATAAAATTTTACAATTGTATTTTAAGAATGGTATTACCATGAGCGAGAAGTACCTTACCTGTCTGTGCTCTGCAGACTTCCAGACATGTTGCCACTAGCAGTGCTATAAAGAGGGTCAACTTCATATTTAAGACTCCGAAATCTGAAACAAATATTCTCTGAGTTAAACATGATAAACAGAAGCAATGAATTATTGTAGTCCTATGCACAATATGTCCGGACACAATTCAAATACATGTACTCAGATGTGTGTTTGCAAGTTCGTTTGTTTGTTATTAACGTCTCACAATTAATATTCAAGCCATTAGGCGGCGGCCTGTAAATAATCGAGACAATCCAGTGATTGAGCAACGATCCACGTCATCGGGGTGCGATGCAACTCGCCGATTCGGACCACTCGATCCCATGAGTCGCCACTAAGACATGCATAGGCTGCTGGGGGCCCATTCTAACCCGGAATCCGCACACGGATAGATCTGTCATTTTCTACGCCCACGGTCGATCTGTAGTGTTAGTGAGTTGGATTTAACGCCGCTTTTAACAGTATTCCAGTTATATCACGGCTTAATGTGGGAGGAATGCCCGAAGTGATGCAGGCATCGGACGTTTACTACTTCGGTGAAACCCACGAGCACGGGTCGATCTGTACCTGGACAATGGGATTTGTATGTCAGAGAACGTGTTATTGCAAGTATACAGAATATTACTGTTTTAAATATTATTGTTTGAAGAAAGAAAATGCAGGAAATAAGGTGAGAGACATGTGCGATATGGTGTAGTCAGTTCAAGAAATAAGTCATCATGAATAATTTCTAATACAGTAAAATACGTTTATAACGAACACGCTTATAACGAACTGACGGATATTACGAACTTAATTTTGGTCCCGATCATTTGCTGTATAGATGTTGTATATATGCTTATAACGAATTGCGGTTATAACGAACTAAAACTAGTTGTCAATTTGAGTTCGTTATAACCGTAGTTTACTGTACTCTTGATATTCTTGCCCACTGGTAATTGATGTCGTAACATACGATCAATGAAGCTACAGTACATTTTCCTTATGCAAAACGGCGTTGTTCTACTTTGTGTAGGGCGGTAGAGTACCCTTGTGGTTCAAGCGTTCTCTCGTCACGCCGAAGGCCCGGGTTCGATTCCCAAATGGGTTCAATGTGTGAAGCCCATTTCTGACGTCCCCCGGCGTAATATTGCTGAAATATTGCCAAAGAGTAAAACCACACTCATTCATCCCTGTCTGTTTATAATTAAAATGCATTATGACACAAAGGGTTTATATCTGACATCGGTCCCCACCCTTTACAATGTAACAAACTGCATGCACACATTCCTTTATGACATTTTGTGACCTTTTTAATTATTCACGAAGTGAAATATCTTAAGCCATCTCCTCGAAATTTCACTTTACATTTGACCATTGCCTGTGATCGAAACTGTTATAAAAATCAGTTCGAAATACGAATGCTTGATTTTAAAGATGTATTTCATAACAGAGACCGAAATTGACATTGCTTGATTTTAAAGATGTATTTCATAACAGGAGACCGAAATTGACATTGCTTGATTTTAAAGACTGATGTATTTGATCACAGGAGACCGAAATTGACATTGCTTGATTTTAAAGATGTTTTTCATAACAGGAGACGGAAATTGACATTTCTTGATTTTAAAGATGTATTTCATAACAGGAGACCGAAATTGACATGCTAAATAATAAATCACCTTTTTAATTGAAGATTCAGGTTTAGGGCCCTGGAAGTCGCCCCAATCGATGACAATCAATTTTTTTATTATTATACATGCATTAACCGTTGTCAGGGTTACTGGCATTCACGTATATTTTAAGAATAAAATACAGAGAGAGTTACTAACATGAGATGTGATAAATAATTTGACACAAACAAGAACATATGCTCTACTGATCTTGCTCTAAACACCATGGAGTCAAACTCAAAGTTGTTCTGACATAAAGAGGTATTACACTAGAGTGAAATTACACCATATTTTCCTCAACTGAAATAATATTCGTCGTTTGTTTCGATTAATATATTATTTCGTTAATACATGCATGATAAGAACTACACCGTGACAAATGTGTTTAGAGTGTAAACACATAAAATACATGTTTAGGAATGTGTTTAAAACCTAAACGGCATACACACTTGGTCTAAACACCACGTTTAGTGTCGAAACATATGATTTGAGCCACCGTCCCACAGCCTAAACACCACCTCAACACAACATCCCCATAATCTATACATGTTTAGAATTTGAACATGTTGACGACAAAATGCATATCATTGTGGATTGTCCTAATAGTCTATGTATGTTTAGAATTTAAATATGTTTAATTCAAGTGCACATCATTGGGCATTAAATCAAATATTGATAAGATGTACGAGTACTGTATACGCTAAAACAACCATAGAAAACGCCCTTCTTATATTACCTACAAATAATTTCAAACGGGCAATTGGTGAGGGTGTTGGTTCGGGTGGGACGGTTTGATGTGTGACCCAAAACACAACCCTGAATCATGAGTCAAACCGCGTGTTCATTTTAAGGGTCTAAACACATATTTTACAGACAGCGTATATTAGTCTTGGAAGAGAATGTTTGCTATGGCGAAATATTTCGATCGTACTTTCGAAACAGGCATTTAATTGTGGTTCTCACCTATAGGACAAAAGTATGTTTTTTCCCTGTCGAATGCCTTAACTCACAATGACTTGACCCTGAACACAAGACAACACTTAATACAGGAGATACGAACCAATCCATACACGAAACTATATCTCTTTGTCCCAACGAGAAAGCAGAACCCTAATAATTAAAAAGACAAAATGTATCAATTGCGGAAAACGGAACAAATTGATGAAATAATCAATAAAATTTAAAATATCAAATTCCAAGCCATTATATCAATGTTAAGACAGATGTGTAGTCTTACCTCTCTCTCAACCTCGGTCTTCGCACACACTGTTCCAGGGCTGCCAGCAGCCGCTCAGTACTGTCAATATGACGCGTTTGTTCAGGGTGTATTATTTATATTTCATAGACTTGTGTTCCCATGCGTTATCGCGCTATATTCCACAGCATCCGTGAGACCCCGTCACAGCCAGGTCTCTGCACCGCACCCCGTATTCAGCTCGTCTTTGCGGCTGCCTTCACTTACTCAAGCGTGTTTGGACAACCTGAATTTATCAATTGCTATCCATTTGGATTATTGTATTAGGCAAATATTGATACTGTGACGATTAATCACGTGGCACGATCTTTACTTTGAAATGACGTGGACTGTAGACGATTATGTGATGCACTTTGTGTGGCTGCTGTAATTTGGGATGTGATAGGGGTAGGGGCGGGGAGATCAGAGACAATTCGGTGGGCTATGAATCATTGGGTTGCAACTGGGATGTTGGGCATCCATCGGCTCGTCGTTTCGCGCCTCGTGTTAGAGTTATTGGTTTTCGTACAATGGTTGGTAAATATAGGTGTGAGGTCTTTGGCCTTTGTTCGTGAAAGAAGTACATAGACATCACGATAATCCTTGAATAACGTTGACCTGGTAAGTGATGGGTCAAGGAGTTGATGAGGAAGGTGGATGAAGAGGGGAGGTTGCACAAAGGGGTAAGGATGGCCGGGTATGCATGGGCGGTGGGTGGAGATTGGTCAGGGGGGTGGTAATAGACAGATGAGGATGGACTGGTGGGGACGGACGGGTGGGAATGGACGGAGGTTGGAGAATGGACAAAGGGGTATGGACGGAGGGATATGGAAGGAGGGTGAGGATGGACGGAAAGTGAAGTGTGGATATATGGTATGGAAGGAGAGTGAGGATGGACGGAGGGTGGAGTGTGGACAGATGGTATGGAAGGAGAGTGAGGATGGACGGGGGTGGAGGGTGGACAGATGGTATGGAAGGAGAGTGAGGATGGACGGGGGTTGAGAGTGGACAGAGGGTATGAAAGGAGAGTGAGGATAGGCGGAGGATGGAGAGTGGACAGATGGTATGGAAGGAGGGTGAGGATGGGCGGTGGGTGGAGAGTGGACAGATGGTATGGAAGGAGGTTGAGGATGGGCGGTGGATGGAGAGTGGACATGGTATGGAAGGAAGGTGAGGATGGGCGGTGGATGGAGAGTGGACAGATGGTATGGAAGGAGGATGAGGATGGGCGGTGGGTGGAGAGTGGACAGATGGTATGGAAGGAGGATGAGGATGGACGGAGGGTGGAGTGTCGACAGAGGAATTGGAAGGAGAGTGAGGATGGGCTGTGGGTGGAGAGTGGACAGATGGTATGGAAGGAGGGTGAGGATGGGCGGTGGGTGGAGAGTGGACAGATGGTATAGAAGGAGGGTGAGGATGGACGGAGGGTGGAGAGTCGACAGCGGAATTGGAAGGAGAGTGAGGATGGGCTGTGGGTGGAGAGTGGACAGATGGTATGGAAGGAGGGTGAGGATGGGCGGTGGGTGGAGAGTGGACAGATGGTATAGAAGGAGGGTGAGGATGGACGGAGGGTGGAGTGTCGACAGAGGAATTGGAAGGAGAGTGAGGATGGGCGGTGGGTGGAGAGTGGACAGATGGTATGGAAAGAGGTTGAGGATGGGCGGTGGGTGGAGAGTGGACATAGTGGAAGGAGGGTGTGGGTGGACGGAGGGTGGAGAGCGGACAGAGGGGTATAGAAAAAGGTGCGGAATGAGCGGATCAGTGGGGATAGACGGAGGGTAGGCATTGGCAGATGGTCCGATGGGGGATGGGGGTGGGTGGTGGGTGGGTGGGGTGGGTATGAATAGGTGCTAATTGACAGACGGGTGGGATGGACAGGTGGAGCTAGACGAGTGTGGAGATTGACGGAAGGGTAGGATAGGCGGTGTGGATGAACGGAGGCTGGTGATGGATGGAAGGAAGGTGGGATGGAGGGAGGGTGGGATAGGCAGAGGCTGGTGATTGACGGAGGGATCGAAGTAGATTGGGGTGGACGGGTGTGTTGGACGAGCGGATGGGTCGTAATAATGGATGAAGGGTTGGGGATGGTCAGTATGGACAGAGGGGTTGGACATGGTCAGTATGGACAGAGAGGTTGGAGATGGTCAGTATGGACAAAGGGGTTGGAGATGGTCAGTATGGACAGAGGGGTTGGAGATGGTCAGTATGGACAGAGGGGATGGAGATGGTCATTTTGGACAGAGGGGTTGGAGATGGAAGGAGGGTTGGAATGGACGGAGGGTGGAGTGTGGACAGAGGGGTATGAAAGGAGGGTGAGGATTGACGGAAGGTGGAGGGTGGACAGAGGGGTATAGAAAGAGGATTGGAATGAACATATCAGTGGGGATTGGACGGAGGGGGGATGGACGGAAGATTGGAAGGATGGACGGATGAGTGGATATGGACTTGGGGTTGGGATGAAGGGTTGGGGATGGTCAGTATGGACAGAGGGGTTGGGGACGATAGAGCCAGTAGGGGCGGAGGCCAGAGATGGACGCAGGGTTGTGATAGGCGGAGGCATGTGAATTGGTAGGCCTCTTCGAAGGAATGAGGATTGAAGGATGAGCGGTTGCGGGAGATTCGGGAGACCATTGTGGCTGACAGAGAATAAGTTGATCGTGGGAAACCCAATAACACCATGTACCCACTCGAGCTTGATCTGCCATTGAAGAGTCATGTTCTGTCGGCACCTCATCAATAGAAGCGATGCTTCTTTGAGCGATGTGCAAACATATTTGCAATACTATTTTCGACCCGAGTAAATGACTTTGAGAAATACCAACAAACATAGGTTTCCCTTTTGAATTGCAATACACAGTTTTGATACATAGTTTTTAACTATTTAAGTTTCAGGCCCTGCTAAAAAGATAAGCGAAACATTACATGGGAATGCCCTAGGGCTTTATTGCTTGAACAGGATCACATGTGTTGCGGTGACCGAACGTTCTTATTATATACTTCAGTGTGAAAGACTGAGTTTTCTGAAGTTGTGAAAAGTGACATTTTCATTGCAGTGAACATTACACTTGATATTCCATTGCAGTGAACATAACACTTTGACGGAACTTGTGTCATACAAGAGTTACTGCCCCTTTAATTATCCCCCTTCCTCTCTCTTTTTAGTCTCAAGCCCGTACAAAAATTGTTGACGTCCTATTTACGTTAGTTCCACATTGACAAGGCAAAATAATGACAGATGGTCAGTTATGGAGTTAATATCACTTTTAGCCGTTTGTTATTCTCTCAAAAATGTTTCGTTATAAACAGTCAATTTCTTATTTATCTCGTCAATCGAGACTGTTCGTTTCGCAAAGCGCCATTTTTGTTACTTGACCAGTGTGTAGTCTTACGCTTCAATCCGCTGTCTCCTAGTTTTCAAGAATATATTTTTGTTAAAGTTGATGTATGTAATGATATCGAAATGTTTGAAAAAGAAATTTAGTGACCCTAAATATTTTTGATACTTTGTTTGTTAAGATTTTGCAAACACGAAACTGTTTTTTAGTCGCAAATACAAGGGGTGGTGAACCGTCCTTGTGTGGTAGGGAGAGTGAGTGAGTGAGCGGGGTTTAACGCGGCTTTTATGGCAATACATTAAGTACATATAGATTGTTAAAGACACACTTACTGTTGAATAATGTTTCTCGGTAGATCTCAGCGTAGTATTGTGAGTACGTTTCGTTGTTGCACTCTGCCATCAGAAATTGAATTATTAGAGTAAGATCTGCTCGCCAAAAGACTCCACCTTAAGACAGAATATGTAGATTCTGTAAGAGTAAGTCCATTTTCTATCTGATTGTAGTTTTTACTCAGACCTGAGGTACAAGCTATGGGAATGAACATCCCATTATAGCCTACAGTTTTGCAGATGTCCCCTTTCGACTAGATCATACTTTTAATGTTAAATTATATTTATATTCGCATAATTATCCCAATATTCCCACCTTATCGTGTAACCACAATTGTTAACTGTAGGAATCTATAATTTTATCTGTATACATATAACTTGTTTGTTAAATGTATGTTTGTATATATGCTGTGTTGTATGTCTGATAGGCCATATGTCCGGACATTGTATATTTTGTATGAATATTTTACAATGAATGACATTTTAATAAAATCTTCTTCTTCTTCCTCTTCTCTTTCTTCTTCTTCTCCCTTCATCTTCCGGGGCGTTCGCTCGTCACGCCGAAGACCTGGGTTCAATTCCCGACATGGGTACAATGTGTGAAGCCCATTTCTGGTGTCCCCCGTCGTGATATGCGGGAATATTGCTAAAAACGGCGTAAAACCATACTCACTCACTCACTCACTCTTTATTTTCTTCATGCCTTTATCTTCTTCTACCTTCATCTTCTTCTACCTTCATCTTCTTCTTCATCTTCTGCCATCATCTCCTTCATCTTCTTTTGCCTTCATCTTCATTTGCTGCCTTCATCTTCCTCTTCATCTCCCTCTTCTTCTGCCATCATCTCATTCATCTTCTGCCTTCATCTTCTTCTGCCTTCATCTTCTTCTTCATCTCCCTCTGGACGCGACGTTAAACCCAATTCCACCTCACATCATTTCCCTCTTCATGTTCTGCCATCATCTCCTCCATCTTCATCTTCTTCTGCTTTCATCTTTTCTTTATCTTCTCCTCCTTCATCTTCTGCCATCATCTTCTTCTGCCGTCATCTTCTGTCTTCATCTACTTCTGCCTTCATCTCCCTCTGCCTTCATCTTCTTCTGCCATCATCTTCTGCTTCATCTTCTTCTGCCTTCATCTCCCTCTGTCTTCATCTCCTTCTGCCATCATCTTCTTCTTCATCTTCTTCTGCCTTCATCTCCCTCTGCTTTCATCTCCTTCTGCCATCATCTTCTTCTTCATCTTCTTCTGCCTTCATCTCCCTCTGCCTTCATCTCCTTCTGCCTTCATCTCCTTCTGCCTTAATCTCCTTCTTTTATTTTTCTTCTGCTTTCATCTTCTTCTTTCTTCATCGTGTTCTTCTGTCCTCATCTTCTTCTGCCTTCATCTTCTTCTGCCTTCGGGTTCTTCTTTCTTCATCTTATTCTGCCTTCAGGTTCTTCTTTCTTCATCTTCTTCATTCTTCATCTTCTTCCTCATCTTCTTCTGCCTTCCTCTTCTTCTTCATCTTCTTCTGCCTTCTTCT